GGAGGAAGGGAGGAAGGGAGGAAGGCTTTGACTCTGGCTGCGGCAGCCCTATATCCTGCATCTACAGCAGACTCATGTTCACGGAACTGCGTAACTACGTATTCATGTATATGCACAGGCACGTATATCAGAAAAGGCTTACATCGGAAAACGCCTGAAAAAGCACGACAATGATACAGCAAGAAACTAGGCCGACAAAGAAGTGACTCCCCCGAGGTTCCAGCCGGTCTCAACCTCAAAGACGACCAGCTGGCCGTTGTCGAGCCCCACCCAGAGCCGAAGTGCTGACTCCTTTTGAGGGTCTAGGGTTGTAGGGTATCAGAATGGAGTTCCCATATGCGGCCGCTGGGGTCTATGAGGCTCTTCGAGTGCTGTAGTCAGAAACAGAATCAGGGGTTTCCGTATGGGGTGTTATAAGTTTTTGCACAGGTGTTTGTGGGAATTGGAATGGAGTTTCTATAGCGGGTTATCGGTGGTTGAAGGATTTCGTTTCACTTAGGGCTTCTGGTTTGAGTCCTATCTTTCGGGGCTACGAAGGGTTGCGCGCTTTAGGTCTGAAGGTTTAGGGTTTAGGGATTCCTGTTAACGAACTTAATTTACCATAGGTTTTGCAGGGACTCTCTTTCTTACAGAGCGGATTTAGTGTGGGGTTTACGGTTCTGAGCTGTCTAGTTTCGGGCTCGGGGCTTAGGGTTTGGGGTTTACGGTCAGGGATGTTGGGTCTCAGGAATGTTGGGGTTTAGGTTGTTAGGTGTTTGTTTAGGGTGTCAGGTCTGGGGATTTTGGGCATCTAGGGCTCCCTGATCTCCGAACCCAGGCACTCGTACGGCTCAGTGTGTTTAGGGTTGCTTGTCATTCATACTTCGGGGGGCTCAGCACCCAAAGGTCCTAGGTCCTAGCACATCTGGAACACCACAGCCCTAAAACCCCCAACAGCTGAAACTGTCGCGAACTGAGGGTTTAGGGTTTTGGGTTCCCTGCAAACGCCTGGAATGCAGACGCACGTGCCTTTCGGGCTGGCACGCTGAGGATTCAGGTCTTCGGGGCGGACGGTCTCCGAAACCAACCCCTACAGCCGAAGCCCTAAGCCCTAAATTCCGTAAATCGTGAATCCGAAACTAAACCCCAAATCTCTAAACCCCAAACCTCTACAAACCCCAAACCTCTACAAACCTCAAGCCCCAAAAGCCCTAAATCCTAAACCTTTACCCCAATCCCTCAAACCCTAAACTCTAAACCCCCTAAACCCTAAGCTTCAAAAGCCGAAACTCCAGACCCCATACCTTAATTCTCGAACGGACCCAATCCCTAAACCCTAAACCCTAAACCCTAAACCCAATCCCGAGCTTTCCCAAAGGCCTGTGGGACCACCACCAACGAGCTGGCCGTCGCTGGCTGCTCGTCAGTTCCTGCACAGCGGGCTTTGGGGTTTAGGGAGGGCTCCAAGGGTTTAGGGTTTAGGGTTTAGGTTTTGGAATTTAGCGGTTTTAGAGGGTTGGGGCGGTTAGGTCTCCTTGCGCGCGTTTAGGATGTTTAGGATTTAGGGGATTGATTTAGGATTTATATTCCAGGCTTCAGGCTTTGGGTTTGACTTTGGGGTTTCAGGGCTCCCGAAAGCTCTCCCCCAAAACCTACACGCTCATTTTTCGGGAGCATGCCCCAGCATCGCAGAACCCCGGCCCTAAACCCAGTCGGGCTCCGAGGGTTAAGACTGAAGGCTTTGGGCATGCGGTCCCCGTGTTCCGGGCACCAGAGACGCGACAACATGCCCGTTTGGATATCATGACATGGGATCATTAACCACAAAGAATTCAGGGGACCTTGGCACAGCCAAATCAACCCTTGCTAGAAGGACCTGGACGAGGTATCAGCATTTTGTGTGAAGACAAACACCATATCATGGTAGCTGCCAGCACCAAGAAGCATGGCTTCATGGAAAGACGCGTGACGCGCATACATGACGTATACAAACTCAAAGCCACTTCAAACCATACACCACAGAGGCCCAAATTTTGAAGCAAATCGTCGTGATGGTTGACACAAGTTCTGGCGATCTGAAACCTGATCGCCGAGGAAATGCCCATTGGGAAGAAAACGCCGGAAAGCTAAGCTGAAACATACCCACCAAAGGGGCCGTGCCTGAGGCACTCCAAACAATGAATTCTTTTGCTCCTTTTGAAAATACTTGATCATGAAAAAACCCCAAGGAACTTCATCGGCAACTATGTAGGCCTCCATATTACAGTTTTGAAGGGCCTGGAAGATGGAACTCACGTTGCAGCTCGCCGTCCCCCAAGGTCCAGTCTCGGGCTTGCTCGGATTCTTGGGCTTGGGCTGAGGGTTTAGGGTTTAGGGTTCAGGGTTTAGGGTTTAGGGTTTCGGGTTTAGGACTAGTTTTTCATCCAAGGCTTGAAGTCGGGCTTGGGCTCCGAAGCCCTACAGCTCCTTGGGTTGCCAGGCTTAGGAAGCTTGGGGCTGTGGGGTGCCGGGCATGTCAGCTTCAATTGCAGCACCCAAGGACATACCCCCATAAAACTTAGCTCCTGCTTTTGACAGTACAGAAGCAAGACCTCAGAAGAAGCGATACCGCAGTCATGATCGGAACAACTCTCGCAAGGCCCTAATATAGTAACCTAAATAGTAGGACCCTTATTATAAGGACCCCAAAATACGGTACCCTCTAGGATTATGTGCATTGACCTTGATGGCCTGCTGAAACCCTGGTAATGGCTTGTTTCTTGTCAGTCGGCTTCCTCCTCGCAGATTTTCGAATACTGGCATTTCTGCCTAAGCCGCAATTCCACACTTAATCCTGAACGTGTTTTCCCTAAACTGGTCCTCAAACCCGTCTCCAAAGATCCCTGAACCCAAACACCCTAAGATGTGCTATTTCCGCCCTTGCTTTAAGGCCCTAACTAGACCACAAACAGACGACTCAGGGCCTGAACACTAAACCGCTGAGCCCTAAACCCTAAACCCCAAACCGCTGAACTGAACCGCCGAACCTTAAACCCTAAACCCTAAACCCTAAACCCTGAACCCTGAACCCTAAACCTTAAACCCTAAACCCTAAACCCTAACCCTAAACCCTGAACCCTAAACCTTAAACCCTAAACCCTCTACACTCAGGGCTGCACATGTACAGCGGCCGGAGCTGCCTGCAAAGAGGCGGCCCTGGTAGAGATGCAGCGCCTGTGGCGAGCTGCCCGAGACTTTAACGAAGGGGGAGGCTGGGATTTAGGGTTTACGATTTCTAGGGCTTATCGGGTTTTATAGGGCTTCTAGGGTCCAGGGCTTAGCGACTAGAGTTTATAGGGTTTAAAGGGTTGAGGGCTTAGCATTTAGGGTTTAGGGTTAAAGGTTTAGGGCTTCAAGGCTTCTGAAGGGATCCATCGCGGGTTTCGGGGGCTTAGGGGCTTAGATGTTTAGAGGTTTGGGCTTGGGGTTTGGGTTTGGGCTTAGGCTTTGGGTTTCAGGGGGGTTCGGGGCCTTGGGGTTCATTGAGCCATCGAGCAGCTTTGATAGTTCGGGAAGCTGAAGAGCTAAATCCTGACTGAGAACATACATCCTGATACCAGTAGCTTTCAAGCCATGCCCTGCTAAACTCTCAACCGCTAAGTCCCTGAACTGCTGAACCCAAAAACCCCAAAACCCCAACCTCCCCCCCCCCCC